ATTTGTTCATATATAAACAGTAGAAAAGCAGTTATATTTGCAGCAGTTAAAAGGGATGCATGCAGCGTTCTGAACTAGTACTAGGTATGAGAAAGGGGTAATATTTGTCATTTAAAGGTATACGAAAGAGGTACCTTTCACTCAAAAAAAGGGTAAGAGTTTGGGTTACGGGGTGAAGCCTCCCCGTTCAAAATCTTATTTAGTGACCCCGCCAAGCATCACGACAAAGCCACACACGCGTGCACAAACAGTTAGTTTAAAAAAAAGAGAGGGAGAGAGAGCTAAAGTATTACAAACCTCGACAAGTTTACTAGAAGAAAACAAAAGTTATAACAGGTGTACAAAGTGAAAAAGCTTCATTCATTAAAAAATGCGACAGATGGCATGGAACCCTTCACTCCATTTTACCGAAATTCGAAAGCGTTTCTGTTTTCAGACGACTACTTTGACTTATAGATTACGGTTCCCTTAACAAAGTCCGAAAATCAGCGCGCCTGGAAAGCTTACGTTCAAGACAGAGGTTTCAATAGTTTTGCAGCAAGAGACTATAAAGGGGACAGAGAGGCCATCCCCCATATACACCCTATTCCATAGGTAATTCGTCTCGAGTTATTTTTAACACCACAGATCTCAAGGGGGATTAGACAACAGCCAATCACATAGCGCGAATGTGTTCCGCGTGGATGACCCACGTTGAGAGCCACGCGTCCTTCTCGAAATGACGCAGAACAAAATGGGGGAAGACGCGGAGAGCGATTTTGCTATTCCTTTTGTCGACGAAAACGACTACAGCGAGATTTCTGCGAAAGCTGTGTCAGGGAAACCGAAATTAAAAAAGAATCGCCCTTCCTCTCTTGTATAGAGCTAACAGTAGAGCAGGGAAATCCTTAACACACTGAATATTCTCTCAGGATCATTTATAATTTACAGTTTGAAGAGAGCAATTTCTGGTTTGATGTTTATTTTTTTCAGTCTTTATAGCGACTATTCCTACCCACCTACATTGTCAACTGTAGGCGAACCCTCCTAAAGCTGAATTTCAAGGGACCATATTCAAGCTCAGAAAGAGAAATAAAATTTCGTCGTTGCTTATTTATGTCCTCCATAAAACGCGAAATTAGGCATTTTCACGTCGTAGTCGTGCAAAAACGGGAAAGAAATGAACAAAAAAGTGTGTTGCACGTGCGAAGTTGTTTTTTTGCTAATTAAACCTATTGTTTTTTTGATGTTCTAGTTGTCGTCCGCGTCGTTGGATCTTAAACTCCCTAAATTGTACAAACGACCGGTTTCAATAGACCGGCGAAATTTCTCATTTTATTAAAGCACTGAGGTTACGACAACTTCGAGTTAAACTGATTTCACGGGTTGTCAAAGAGTCCAGCGATTCCTTTTTCCCAGGTGAGCGCCGACTCATTTCGCTTCAATATTCAGGAATGTTCTCGATCTTTTTACGCTTTCATTGCCTCTCGCCCGACATGTTTTGGTCATGCGAAACCTCCACGAAACATCCACGCCTCGCGCGAGGTAACTTTATCCCGATTCTAAAAATAAGTCGAGACGAATTACCTATGGAATAGGGTGTATATGGGGGATGGCCTCTCTGTCCCCTTTATAGTCTCTTGTTTTGCAGATAACATGATAAAACCACAGTTATAACGTAGGGCGCGTGCTTACCCTATATAAGTCCTATTGAGTTGCTGGGAAAAAAACTCTTTTTTTGCGCACGCCCGTGCGTAAATAAGATGACGTGTACATTTCTGTCTATGAAACTCTGATTTTCGTCCATTTCTCTCAACTAAGTCTCCAATAATCGAAGGCAACAAAGAAGAAATTTCTAGTATTTTTGGAACTCAAGAAGACATAACTCGATTTATATACGCACGCTATAAAGCATGAACCAATTCTTAATTGACAAAACAAAATGGACTGGTTTGTTAGCTAAGAACCTCTCTTTTTTTCTTTAGTATAGAGTTTGATCTGAATATCTGGCCCCGATTGTTTCAACGTTGGATAGCGCTATCCATCGGATAAATAACTATCCAGCGGACAAGTACAGGGGAAATTAATCGCGTTTTCCACTTGACAGACTTTTATCCGGTTGATAGCGCTATGATTCAACGTTTGAACAACTGGGACCTGATTAGGGCGCGGGAAACTATCGGGACCCTCGAAAAACGGGCTTGCCTCGTCCCCAGGCAAGTTATCCGAATGAGCAGAAGAGGGCTGGAATCGAACGTGGTGAATTTTCCCGACAAGTTTGACAGGTGATATCACGAGGACGACTGGAAACGAGGCTTGATGAGAATAATATAGTAAAGCAATAAGGTTATTTTATTTTATTTTTTTACATCAGAGTAGCCTGCTTGCAAGCCCTCCAGTTATGGCGAGAGAAGGCGTGAGCGAGCGGTAATTTCGGTAAAGCCACCAGGGGAGGAGAAAACTAACAAATGTTTCATTTCTGCTTTGCCCAGACGAAGCAATTTACCATTGGCTGAAAAATATTTTGATTGATGACATTCCTCGCCGTAAACTTTGAAGCACCACCCCTCGCACACGCGTCTCCTTTCGCGTATGGCTGTCGCGCGTGACTTCTCGCTACTCCCCCAAATGGAGAGCTTGCTCGCAGGCTAACATTAGCGCGGGAAGATGTGGTGTAGGTGCTGCGCATGCGTCGGTGGGAGAGTGAAACACCAATAAGTTTTATCATATAGGTTTCTAATGCAATTTACAGCCGTAAAAAGATTTAAAGGATCCGGACTCAAGTGCGAGCCCTTCGACTGAGCAAAACGATGTTTATTTTCTCAAAACGTCGAGCCGTTTTCGAAAATTTCTCGCTTCCAGTTGACCGCCTGTTTAAAATTCAAAATGGCTGCCACAAAACATTCAATGTTTAACTCGCATCGGTTTTGAGAGTCCCCTGTGAAAAGGAAGCGTCTTCTTGTGATCGGAGCCCGGTCCCCATCGTTAATAAACAAAGAAAAAATCAGGAGCTTGTTGAAAAAAACGATAGAATAATCCAGTTTTTCATCCCTGAAAATTAAAAAAAAAGGATTTTCCAAGATCAGTATATTACTTTCAATACGCATGAGGCGATAGATAAATCATGGTAAAAAATTAAAAGGGCTCCATGTTTTAAAAAGGTTTTTAATTACTACAGCCACCTCATGTTAGATTTTTTTCCCCAGTCATACCAGGNGTCGCGCGTGACTTCTCGCTACTCCCCCAAATGGAGAGCTTGCTCGCAGGCTAACATTAGCGCGGGAAGATGTGGTGTAGGTGCTGCGCATGCGTCGGTGGGAGAGTGAAACACCAATAAGTTTTATCATATAGGTTTCTAATGCAATTTACAGCCGTAAAAAGATTTAAAGGATCCGGACTCAAGTGCGAGCCCTTCGACTGAGCAAAACGATGTTTATTTTCTCAAAACGTCGAGCCGTTTTCGAAAATTTCTCGCTTCCAGTTGACCGCCTGTTTAAAATTCAAAATGGCTGCCACAAAACATTCAATGTTTAACTCGCATCGGTTTTGAGAGTCCCCTGTGAAAAGGAAGCGTCTTCTTGTGATCGGAGCCCGGTCCCCATCGTTAATAAACAAAGAAAAAATCAGGAGCTTGTTGAAAAAAACGATAGAATAATCCAGTTTTTCATCCCTGAAAATTAAAAAAAAAGGATTTTCCAAGATCAGTATATTACTTTCAATACGCATGAGGCGATAGATAAATCATGGTAAAAAATTAAAAGGGCTCCATGTTTTAAAAAGGTTTTTAATTACTACAGCCACCTCATGTTAGATTTTTTTCCCCAGTCATACCAGGAGCCCATTTATGGGCTCCTGGTCATGCACAAACTGACAAACCCTGAGCGATGGCAACTACAGTCGAACTTCTCGTGATGGCCATGAGCAATCACCCAAAATGCGAAGATGTAGCCGTCAAGAAGTGGTCATTAGGGACCTTACGAAACTACGACGTCGACGGCGAGGAGAACGTCAAAAAAGCAATAGGTTTAATGAGAAAAACAACAACTCTGCACGTGCATCACGCTTTTTTTACATTTCTTTGCTGTCCCTGCACGACCACGACGTGAAATGACCAAATTTTAAGTTTATTTGAGAACGGGAACGGCAAGGCGATATGTTTTACCATCTCTGTCTGAACTCCCCTCTCTTCAGCTCCAACCAAAATTCTCTTCTTTAAAGTAACAGGGCGAATTGGGATAATCGCGAAAAAGTTTAAAAGCATGCGAAGTCTGTTTTTCAGCGACGTTTTCGTGGACGTCGGAGTTGTCGAATCGTAAGGTATTTACAAGAATCGAACCAATTATGGCTCTTGATCTACCTAATGCGGCCTCGTCCCTACGCGTTCTCGGCTCGGTCAAACCTGCACTCTACCGTGAGCTGTGACGTCACCGAGAGAGAATCCCCCGCCCTTTCTCAGACTTCGCGCGGACATCAGGCTAAGAAAGAACGCCTGGGGACTAGGCCGTACAGTGCATTTCCATATTGTCGCTAAAAGTTCTTCTTATACTCTACGTAGCATAGTACATACAGCGAACAAAGAGATCAGACAATGCGTCAAGCGGTCGCTTGCAGAGGTTAAAATGTCAGTCCCGAAAGGTGGCCGCAGTCACTTACAGGAGGTGATCGTTTACTAGTGGTTCTTGAAAGGGAAAACTTTGGTGTTTTGGAAGGCTAAGGTGGTCGCTTACAAGAGGTGGTTGCAAATGGAGGTTCGACTGTATTTTTTCTAGCCTGCGTAGCAAGAAGAAAGAAAGACCGAGGAACGGGATTTTCGGTTTCGGCCGCGCGAGAAATGGAACGAGAGCCAAACAAAATGAAAGAGGGGGTGTGGGGGAGGGGAAGGAATCTTTCCTCCCCACCTCCTCCCCGCTCTTTTACTGGCGCCATTTTTCGCGCGGTCTTCGCCTCTCGTTCCTCGTTCTTTGCTCCGAAACCGTACGGAAAAGCTTGCTACGCCGGCTATATTTTTTCCGATGTCACTTTTATTGCCCTACCTGTCCCTCTTCACGGCCACCGTACATATTTCTTTCCAAGTTCCAAGTTGGATTAGTGATGCAAGGTTTGGGTTTAAAAAAGAAAGGTGGACTGATTTTACGATAATCAAAATGTGTCGTTGGACAAAAATCTGCAAAATCTCCCATGGGAACCACGCTTTTTGCCCCATCGTTGGCATTCCGTCCAAAATAACGCATCTTTTCCACGTAAGTTCCATGTATTCCTAAATACGAATCACAGACGTTGAATACGTTCTCGAATTGCTTGGAAAATGATGCCGGTGGATGGTGGTATAATCTGCTATCGTGAAAAAACAATTTGCTGTCAATGCTCTCCAGCCACAGACCGATTTGTTGGTCCGCGTGAGGGTGGCACATCATTGTTGTTTCGTTTTGCGCCAGGAATTTATAAATAATATCGGGCGAGAAGATCATAAACGATTCGTCCACCCACGTTATACCATCTTGACAGTGGAAATTTCCCCAAACCAGGCTCGTATCTGGCCGCACCGGAAGCTCAAACAGAAGCCTCTTTAGACAAAGGAAGTAATCATCATCAGTCCTAAGGAGGAAACGGAAGTCAAACTTCGCCTTGGCCCACTTTATATGGTTGAGAAAGCGAAGGCCGAACTCTCGGCCTCCGAGCAATGGCTGAAACTCTAGATCTCTGTATTTGATTCTTTCTCTGAGAATAAGTGTGCGTTGGTTCTCGTCCTCGGTTAGACCATCAGTAACAAAAACGCACTTGACCTGGTGAAATTAAGGAAAATCATTCTTTATTAGTCGCTATTGGTTTTAAGAAAGTAGATCGACCAGCCGCAACCACGTCCTTGTGGAGATCCGCGTAAGCTAAAGTAACCTCCCTTAAGCCGACTCACAATCACACTAAAAAAGGGCTAATATTTTCTATTTGAGCAAAAGATAAATGTATATAATTTGAATGGCACAGTTTAATTAGTAATGGCGTAGTTCTTTAGTTAAATACATGAGCAGTTACTCTGTATATCAAATTTGTCCAACTGATCCCTTGTAGCGCTTCATATTCATCCAGTTTCCCGCAGGCCGACATAACCCGCAAGGGGACACCTACGCTAGTCCCGAGGGACTGTAAATCGGGCAACAAAATCGTAGACTTGTTTTGCAACATGTTGCAAAACGAGTTGAATGGCGATGTTGCGCCTTTTACTAGCAACATCAAAGCCTGTCTTGCATCAACTCAGTTTGTAGCAGGTTGCCAAACTTTGTTGCGGAAAGTAGTAGTACTTTTTGCAGCAAAATCTGTATATGTAGCGAGTCTTACAGGCCAACCGGGCAATCTTGTTTTTCAGCAAGTAACGTAACTCCCGTCAGGAGCTCTCGTGTGACTTCCGCGTAATTTTATCCAATCAGAAGTCAGTATTCACATAACTTGCAACAACCTGGTTTGTTGCAAGACAGGTTCAAACGTAAGTGGTAAAACGCGCAACATCGCTATTCAACTCGTTTTGCAGCGATGTAAAATAAAAATTGCACGTTTTTGTCGCCCGTTTTCTGTAGCTTTACCTGATCCCCAGTACAGTGCTTCCACCATGTGTCCCGTATTGCTTGCCTTCTGGCAAATCTTTGTGGTGCAGTGCTAACAATAACCAAGAGTAACACTTTGGCCTTGTTGCCTCCCAGATCTTTAAAATTAAGCAGAGGAGTTCCGGTGTTTTCTGAAATGTTTAAGGCGAGACTGCGGCGAGCTGAATCGCCGTACGGATCATCAATGTACTCGGAGTATGACCACGAAAGTATATTCGGTAAAGCTGACAATATGCCGGGTTGAAAGATCAAGACTGTTACGTACAAAAACGTAGAGATGAATAACAGCGCTACCGCCTGCTGAAGATTCATGGGGAACATTTTCCTTAACATTTTTTTAAGCTTCACACCTGCACACCCGGTCTTTCCAACAAGCAAATTCCACTGAGAAGACAAGCTGAAAAGAGAAAAATGTTTCCGAATTAAACTGTCATTTCTTTCCTCAAGACTACGAAAACGAGTGACCTTTTCACGAACCATTTCTGAACTGTTTTCCTAAAAACATACACTGAAACACTTACTTGATGATTTGGGTCGAAGAAGAAAATGCTTATTGTTGCTTGTTTGGTATATTTCTTCACTTGTGTGGTGATGTGGTTTTTTGGGCATAAAATTGAAAAATATTTTATAAATCATTATAAATTTCAGACTAGGGCAGTTAAGGGAAACATGGGTCGACTTTAAACATTAAACTGAGAAAATAAATATTCTGGATGAAGTATTGCCTTCCAAATAAGCATGTTCATCTGCTATGTCTTTTCCACTGATTTTATTTCGAGAAAACAGCGAAAACGTGCTACCATTCACTTTTTTCTGAACTTCAAAGTCAATGAAAAGATTTAAACCTGAGTACAGCCTTTCATCCAAGCCTGAATGTGCTAAAGCCCCCGTTTGTGGGATCCACCATGTTGGTCCAACATAATCCAACATTTTTAGTCCATGTAACATCATCTAACATTAAATGAAGGATGATCATCGCAGCTATCTACGCAACGTTTGCAGCAGCGAAAAGAAAGCCTGAAAAAAACTTCATCATCTAACATTGTTGAGTTAACATTCATTTAAACCAGTTTTCTTATCAGAAATATGTCGAACGAATCAGGTATACCGTTTATCAATGAGTTACTACTCTTTCGATTGCTATTTATGGATCATAATTAACATAATTTACCAACAAACATCTCAAAAAAGGAAAAATTCGGGGAGAAGAGATGTGACATAAGAAACGAATTCAAATATTCTCATCATTGTATTAATATAAGTTCAATTTACATTTAATCACATGCGGACTGGGAATGAACTTTCCAACAACACGTACTAGTTTTTGGCATGTTTTTAGCCATGAATACAGTCATTACTTATATCATGTTAATCGCTGTTAAGTTGGGGTTCTGCGCCTCGGTTTCTGGCATGGGGACAGCTTACAACGTTCATTATCCGCCGGACGACAAATTGAACGATCATTTTTTTTTAAGTTATTGAGTGAAGTTTACTCAGATGTCTTTTAAATGGTCTACATTTAATCTTCGTTCACCATCGTACGGAATATTGACATCGTGTGTTTTGGGCTAACTTCGCATAGAATACTTGTTTGAAATCCATGCCACATCATGAAAACGAATTGTGTTTTACTTTACTTCAACGAACCGATGTACTAATAGTATCGATCTTTTTTTCCACGAGCGACGTAAGTTGTTCTTTTACGATTTATGGTTAAGGCTAAACATTTGAACTATGTCTTTCATGTCGGCATTTAAACAAACTTCACGAGAACAAAGTTCGACCACAATTTAAAATAGTGCTTACCGTGTATTGATCAACGACAGAAGAAAAAGTCGATAATTCTGTACTAGCTGCATTGGCCATCCAGGACACGAAGTTGATTATTCATCAATATTTTCCCGGCCGGTGTCTTTTCTGGAGTGGAGAATTTTCCTGTCATTGTCGGTAGTTTTGAGTGACGCGGGTTGCCATGGATATTACTCGGCCCCTTTGAACCATCCTCCATTCACAAGCAACAAAAAAGCAATTAAGTGATACTGCACTCCAACTGCGTATCCAACCCAAATTCAGTGAATTCGAATTAACTAGCCAGGCTTTCAAAACTGAGTGAGAGAAAACTATCCACTAGGCCGTGAACTCTCTTTCCAGTGGATAGCGGGGGCGGATCTAGAAAATTCAGAAAGGGTGGCCGGGACACTTGTCCATTTGCCAGCTATTTAGATACTTTTATTTTCTGAGAATTCTATGAAAATAATACAAAATTTCAAAGAAAATGGGGTGGCCGAGGCCCCCTCGGCCCACCTAAAACCGCCCTTGGATAAGGCAAATAGTCAGGAGCAAAAAACGACTGTTTACTGTATAAACATTTGTTCGGGGAGGCAAACATTGCTTAGAACTTTCTATTATTTAAGGACGGCTAAAAATTACTAGATGAGCATTCAGGAGCAATTTTCGTAGCTTGTCTAAACAATTCCCTACGATTTTCTGAAGTTTAATTTTTCACAATGTACTCCCCACGTTATGCTAATTTTCGTAGAAAAAGTAAACCTAAAATTTTCGGTTTCAAGGAATATAAAAAATTCTCACTTGCGTAAAACGTTCAGCTGTATCTAAGATTTTCGGAAAAATAACATTGGAGCCCTTGTGATTTCGAGAAGCCTCAAGTTCCCCGGCCCTAGGATGACCGAACAGATACCAATTATATATGTAGCGCTGCTTAGACTGCATTTCTAGAGATCTAAGAGTACTCCGGAAAGCCTAAAAAGACTTTTCAATGCATTTAGGACACCGTCGTTGGGTGCTCCTGATGAGTTTCTTTTCGCAAAGACTTATCTGCTTGACAGTGACTATTTTACTGTTTTATATCCAACGATTCAACAACCGGGGCCTGAACAGATAGTTTCCGACATTGAAGTGTACGAGTTATCAACTAGAGAGGTTTTAAAAAATTTAAAAGCATTTTCTGGAAATATTCAGTGTGTCAAAAGAGTCAGGTACAGTATCAGAGACCTTATCAAACAACACTTCCACTAATGCTTCCCTCGACAGCTTTAGAACTAATCACGTTCACGGCAAAGCGGCCGACTTCAGATTCAAGTTGACAACCTCTCAAGTTAAGTAAATTAACAGATTAAAACGAAATAACCACCAGAAAAATGCTCTGGAAGTTTTAATTAATGTTAATATGTAAAGAAAGGCTTTCTTTTGTTCCAATAAATCTGCATATAGATGCTGGCCACATTAGTGGCAATGAAACGCTGCAACAACGTACGACGGGAAAAATAGACTTTCTTTCTATCGTAAGACTTTATTCCTCAGAATCCTTATAAGTTCGCTTCTTTGATCTTAGAGGTCGCAACACAGGCGAGGAGGTCGCCAGACTGTTTTTAAACGACATCACATATTGATCTCATGGAAACCAAAATTAACGTGCGCTATTTCTATTTGTTCAATAGATGAGGCTAGCCGCGCATAAAAGTTGCGGATCAAGAACTTCAGATAAGAGGGGGGGGGGGGGGG